ACAACCTTGCAAGGAAAGTTCCAGCCACAGTGGGATCCCATGGATGGGAGATGGCCTGGAGCTGCCTGGCCCTCCCTGGGGCCCGCACACACACCTGCACCTGGCAGTGCTGTCTGTCCACAGGAGTGGGTGCCGCCTCGTGCGCACAGGCATGCTCGTGTGCTGTATGTGGTACTCCTCAGTCTGTGTGGGGTCATGCATGCGCCCTTGTGCCCAGCCTGCTTCCAGCAGAGGCTGGTTGTGCGTGAGCGTCCCCCCTCCCCAGATCAGACATGTATGTGGCCTCCTCTGAGCCTGTGAACAGGATCCCAGGGGTGCTCCGGGGCTGCCTCCTGAGGCTGCGGGGCTCACACTGGCGTTGCACCTGGTTCCATGTGCATGGACTGCAGCATGATGTCCAGGACAAACAGGCTGAACGACAATTGCACCCCATCCCCTCTACGCCCACCTCCCACACCTTGTGTGTGTGGAAAACTGAAAGCACTCACCTAATGATCCCTCCCTGCCATCAGAGGATGCCTGCGACAGACCCCCCCCTGCCATCAGAGGATGCCTGCAACACATCCTGGCCTGGGGTACTGGCTCCAGGCTCAGCGTCATGGTGCTAGCCATGTCCTCCTCCTCCTGCCCCTGGTGTCCCTCCTCCTCCTCTGCAACCTCCGGGCAGGCGGCGACAGGTGTCTCGAGGCCTGAGTTGACCACCATGGGTGGGGAAAGGGCTTCCCTACCTTCCAGGATGTGGTGCAGCACCTGGTAATAGGGGCAGGACTGGGGTGCAAGCTGTGCTCCCTGGCCCTGGCATAACCCTAGCAGAGCTCCTTGACTTTACTCCAGACCTGTTCTAAGGCCCGGGGGGAGAGGAGTGTCCCCGCTCCGCCAGGGCCTCAGCCATGCGCCCATAGATTTTGGCATTGCAGCGCTGGGAGCGGAAATCCTGTAGGGTAGGGGTGGGCAATAATTTTTGCCTGGGGGCCACTTCAAAAATTTTTGAAGTAGCCCTGGGCCACCCCGAAACAGGAAGGGGTGGGGCTACCCCACCCCCAGACCATGATTGGCCTGCAGATGGGGGAGCCCCTTTGCCCCCCTTCCCACTAGGCACCCATGCCCTGGAAGAGGTTTGGCACGCTCCCCCACCCCCAGACCAATGTGGGGGGGGGGGGAGCGCGGGAAGCCACCTCCTGCCCTGCGAGGAGCATGTGGCACTTTGAAGTGCTGTGGGCTCTTTGCAGGGCTGGGGCAGGGCAAAGGAAGCTACACACAACTTTGAAGCACCGCGTGCTGCTCGCAAGGCAGGAGCAGAGCAGAGCAGGCTTCAGGTGCTCCCCCGCCCCAGGCCCTAATTGGCCTTGGGATGGGGGAGCAGCAGGGCCTTCGTGGGCTGAATCTAGCCCCTTGGCGCTTTTGCCCACCCCTACTGTAGGGTCTCCTCCCCCCACGGCTCAAGGGGGGAAAGGATCTCCGCTCTGGACCAGTAGAGTGCACTCCACTTGCTACTCCTGGCTGGGACCTGGGAGCCCTTATGCTGCTCCCTGCAATGGCCAGAGGGGCCTCAGGGGGGGCTTATGGCTGGCAATGACTGTGGCAGG